TGTTGCTGGGGTTGGGGGAGTAAACCAGTGATGACAGCTCCCTGTGTATCTTTCTGCCTTTCAAATAAAAAGGGAAAAAAATACCATCATATTATTCTGACCGTGTGCCATCACAGTTCTGAGAGGGTAGATTCATTGCACTTAATAAAATCGATTTAACTCACAGAATCCCCAAGAGATGGGTGTGATAAGTCCCCTTCAATCTCCTTTCCAGCAAAACATATAAGGGAGAGGGCTCCATCCACACCTGGCCTGTGGACTCCCTCCCACACACCTTCTGTGCTGTCTCTCAACCAGAACATGTCCAGATGCCAGAGGTGTTGCCCCAAATGCAAGCTAAGAAAGCCTAGGAGAATGAGAGAGAATACGAAAGAAAAGGGGGAGTCGAACTAATGGGGAAAGAACCACGGCAAGAAGCAGAGGAGGAAGGAGGGGGCCCGGTGGTCCGTTAGTGAGGCTGGGAGTTCACTCTCCTGGGTGCGTGGGTGAACACGCGGCATGTGTCTCCTAAATCCTGCAGATGTACCACGCCGGCCGTGTAAAGCAGCTCCCCAGCTCCCAGGCTTCCTGTGCGAGGACCTCACTACGTGCCTGCCCCCGTCCACGCTTTGTAACGGCAAGGCAGATTGCAGTGACGGCGAGGATGAGTCTGCCGCCTACTGCGGTGAGAGGGGCAGGTCGTCACAGTTACGGGAATAGCGGCCAGTGGTTAACAGTGGACATGCAGAATGGTCATTAAAACCTCATCATGCACCAGTGCTTTCTAGTAGCAATAATGCTTTTGTCCAAAACAGGCCAAATGCCCAACAGTCTCCCGCAAAACTTCATATTCCAGTGTTCCAGCCATAAGACTTGGATATATGTGGATAAGGTGTGTGACACAAGAAATGACTGTGGCGATTGCTCGGATGAATCAGGTAAAAATGAATATGTGTAGCTGATTTTCTAAAGGGTTCTTAGAGGAGCTACCCTTACTCTTCAAGCACAGAAGTTGACTCAGAAAATTTCCTTACTAAATTTGCATTTGGGGCTGGGGTCATGGCACAGCAGGTTAAGCCCCCTGCTGCAGCACTGCCAGCATCCCATATGAGTGCTGGTTCGAGTCCCAGCTGCTCTACTTCCCCCAGTCCAGCTCCTGCTAATGTGCCTACTAAACAGTGGAAGATGGCCCAAGTGCTTGGACCCCTCCACCCACAGGGAGACCTAGATCTCTCTCAATCTCTCTCTCTCTCTCTTCCCTTCTCCTCTGTAACTGCCTTTCAAATACAATAAATCTTTTTAAAAATTAATATCTACAGCCCTGATTGAGCAATTCTATTACTTTCAGTAGTTTCTGAATGTATTTCAAGTGGGTGAGTTCTCTAGCTAAGAAGGAAATAAAGCCAGTTGTGCAAGGATTAACAAAGGAAATAACCTCTTGTGTACTGTCAGACTCCCCTTAGGTTTCTTTGGAAATTTTGGTAAAGATCAAAGAAAAGTCTGTTGAAAGCTTTGGCTCTCACAGATGTTCTAACCTTGGCATGGCCTTTCTCCTCCTTGCCCTGCCCCCACTGTTGGACAAGGAGCAGCACCCCTGATTCCCCTTACAACCTGGCAGGCAAGGCTGCATTACTAGGCTACCGTGGCAGCAGATCCAATTCCAAAGCCTCATGGCCCCAGCCCATACAGAAGACTTGTGAGAGGTACGCTCCATAGATCACTTCCTCCCTCTGAGGGTGACGACAGAAGTGCTTCCTCCCATCGCATTCAGCAGTGAGTGCTTTGACAACGAAGGCTCTATGCGCGAAGGGATCCTTAGCTGATCTCCCCCCCCACCCCCGTTTATGTCACTTAGTGTGTTTATCTGCAGGCTGCTGGGGTACTCGCATTGGCTTTTCCAAGTACAAATTCCTTCACCCAAATATCTAGAATCTTTCACAAACATCTGCAGTTTTCCCTCTGAGCATTTTGGGATATTTTTTAAGATCCAAAGAACTATTTCCACCCTGACATTTTAACAGCTCTGATTATAAAAACAAATAAAATCGTCTAGTTTTCCAGTGCCCTACGTGTCCAGGCTGAAGATGTGAGGCTGTTTCCTTTGCCGACTGCGACTGCATTCCCAGAATCCGCCGCAAAGATGGCCTTCAAGACTGTGCTGATTGGAGTGATGAAAAGTTCTGTGAATAGAGAACTTTGGTAATCATTGTTCTGGAAAAACTGAAACCGGTTATCAGATGCCTTCAGGCTTCTCTGGAAAAAAGTGACATACGAGTCTATCTACACAAATATCCTTCTAGGGGCTGGGGCCAGGGCAGAGCTACAAGAGCACAATCCAATGTTTATGGGGGAAAAAAATGACACATAGAGATCAGACGCAAGCTTCAGTCCATTTCTAAGTCTGTTTCCCAAGGCTACATGCAACTTTGTGCCCTGTGCAACACAGGGTTACTATGGGGATGACAACGGGCACTCATTGTTTCTACAAATAAAGGATCTTTATCCTAAGAGTTCTCAGATCGAAATAGATGTCTCTTCCTTCCTTAGCTTGGCTCCGGTTCAGATCCAGCTGAAAACTAGTTTGATTCCGAGCTCGTCTTGAAAGTAAATAGCCGGTAATTATCAACCACAACAGAATCACCTGCCTCTAGCTGGCCCGCGCCTACCGTTCCACCCAGCAGATGGTGAGCTCCGCAGAGCAGAACTGGTTTTCAATCTCATTCTGCCACTCGTGGGGCTGTGTGATCTCAAGACACGAAGTTTCACTTCAAGATGGCTTCATCTGTAGTGTGGATCTTTTGGGGGATTATAATAAGACAAAGCAAAAGAATGTGATAGATTGTATTATTGTTGGAATAGACCTGCTACCCTGCACAGGAGGATTAGATGAGAAGCGTCATCTTCCTCAAGCCCCTGCCATCCGACTCGCCTATCTGAATTGTTCCGGCTGATGAAATCTGATCATTAATGATGTGCATCACTTCCCAGCTTGAGTTGGAGGCGCCAGCTGGCTGTTCACCATCTTTCCGCAGCGATGTTCTAATTAGAGGCTGCTCTTGGAGCACAGTGGAGCCCAGCCACAAACTAAACATCAAGTGTGAGAAGCCTTTGCAGCAGCTCAATTACTTTGGTCACTTGTAACAGCAGCATAAGCCAGCCTACCTACCCTGACATTGAAGAGATTACAAAAGCATCCTGTCCTAATAACCTATAGCCACCCACATAATCATTTAAACAATGCACTTTAGAACAGAGCTCTTGAGTGTGGGTGTTAACAGGCTTAACCTCAGCCAGCTTCCGTCCCATAAGCAGGTTGCCCTGGGATAGGCCTGGCCCGGAAACCCACTGCTCTTCTTTATGTAGTCTCTCCCTACTGTTTAGCCCAAACTGGAAAGAGATTCAGATAGTGACATTTTCCCACAAGCTTGCTGGTCTGTCTGGCATCCCAGTGTCTCGGGATGAACTGGGAGTATTTCCAATCATGCTACTCAATGCATGGCCACAGGGCAGGTATTTGGCATAGTCATTAAGATGCTGCTTGCTGTACCTGCATACCATACTGAAGCACCTGGGTTCTAGTCCCAGCTGCCATTCCAATTCCAGCTTCCTGCCCGTGTGCACCTTAAGAGGCAGCAGGTCCCTCCCTGACACCCACCTGGGAAACTCGGATTGAGTTCTGGGTTACTGACTTTAGCCTGGCTGGCCCAGGCCTAGCTGCTGTGGGTATCTGGGGAGTGAACCAGCAGATGGGAGCTCTCTGCCTCTCTGATTTCTTCACACAGTGAAAAAAATTAGGGAAATAAAAAGGAAAATTATCACACCCAGCAGCACTAGGGAGCTTAGCAGAAGGCAACCTCACAGGCTCAGCTGCTCAGCCCTCCATCTTAGCTGCTGTGGTCAGTTCTAGGCCAATGGGTTTGTGAGAACAGCTTTATTCCACCATGCACTCTGGCAGGAAGGCAGAGAGAAGAGTGGCCCAGGAGCTTGGGACCCAGAGGATGCATACAGCAGAGCCCAACCTGACCCAGAGGTGTCAGGAAACACCTACTTTCTTGTAATTCTGTAAAGGGTCATTGTTACTGTAGCAGTCCAAGGTAACAGGAAGCCACACATCCTTTGGAGAAAAACGACACAATGTAAAAGGGTGCAAGTACTGTTTCCACAGAACCTCTGTTTGTTTGGTATAGTTAATTAAACCACTACAAGACTTTTAGATGTACTATGGTATCTTTAAAAGGTACTTACAAATTGCAATGAAAACATAAATCCTTGACCTGGATGTGGATTACATATAATTATTTTAATTACTATTCGGAAAATCTTAAGTTTTAGCTGCTAAAACATGACTGTTAATAACAATTTTTTTAGAAGTAGACCTATGTTGAGGAAGTTTTCTGGGGTGATGGAACTGTTTAGTATCCTATGGTGGCAGTTGAACAATTAAAAATTCTTACAACTGCGCACACACATATTCAATTTTATTGTATGTTAACATTAAAAAAAAAAAGAGCCGCCCTGGTCATTTTAAGAAAAAGACAAAGTGGCCTGAAGACATTCCTAGTACAAATGCTACTTTTTTTCCAAGTCCTTTTAGATATCCTATGAAAGGAGATTTGGAGATGAACTACTTTCACTGTTTTGAAAACTGAACTTCATGTCACACCTACAAAACAAACTACTAGTCCCTACTTCATAAATTGAGAATGAAATAAACCTGAGAGGAATAATACACAGGCCCCTAACTTATGATTATAATTTTAAAAAGTATTATCAAGAAAAAAAGGCTCTGGCTTACCTACTAGGGAATCCTGTTCTCATTTGCATGTACACCCACGACATAACCATGGGGGCCCTGAGGGCTGCAGTTTTCCAACATGAGAATGATACTACCTTTGTGACACCACACCACTACATACTGACTTTACACCTTTAATCTGATGCCATGAACTTTCTAAAGAAAAAAAAAAACTTTTCTTACTGGGCACAAATCAGTTTCAATGAAATAAAGAAATAAAACCACATACTAGGCAAAGAAATTTATTAACCTTTGTTTCAAACTTTATTCCCAGGCTTCTTCAGCTTAATTAGCCGCAAAGAATGAAGTGTGTATAAGCAAAAACTGAAAAGAGCTGCACTGTCCAAGGGGCTTGAGCTTAAAAATATTAGAGATCTAGATTTTATCAGATCATAAACAAAACGATTTTAAAAAGCAGTCATAATATAAAACAGCAGCTCCCAGTAACTTCTTCAAGTTTTACTTTCTTCAGAAGTTGACCCCATTCAGTTTGCCTCATTCTTGGAAGCCTCATCAAAATTCTCCACAAGATCTAGAAAAAGGAAAAGAGTAGAAATTCTGAAAAAGTCAAACCTACAAATTATAAAATTTACCAGAAAAGGAGGAACCCTCTCAAATTCAAACAGGTGTCTTTATTTTCAGTGAGATGGCTCACTGGATACACAGTGCATTTTTGGTGTAGAATCACTACAAGGCAAAGCCACGAATGTACATACTGTGCTCAGAGAGTACCCATGTACCCTCCCCACTCCAGTCTACAAGAATCTAACTAAACAATGCGAGATGCTGGTCAACCAGGGGGAGCAGAGCCCAAGAACACCACGAGACACGTGATTCTGAAGTTTTCTCAGGTTCCTAAGGATACTTTGACACACATGGGGAATATTTTTGAATCTAGTGATTCTTCTTCCCAATAAGTATTTTACAAGTAAATTATCCAGTATCAGAGATGACAGAAAGTCTCAAGGCTGCCAGAGCAGTTATTTTGCCACTGCTTTTATAGCTCAAAACTTCTCTAAGTTTCTCATAAACATGGGTTTCAAAGTAGGAAGAGGGGCAGTCGTGATCTGTAGATAAGTTGCTTCAGATGACAATATACGTACTTACTTACTCAGTATTTAATCAACTAACTCCTAGTTACATATCACTACTGTTTCCTCATTTTAAGGAGGGGCCATGTCTCCCCATCCCCTACCCCTGAATTCATTCCTTTCCCAGGATAATTTTTTGCTAAGATTCTTCAGGTTAACCGCAAGTGAAGGTTCCTACCTGGAACTTCATCATCATCGTCCTCTCCAGTAGCAAGTGGTGCTTTTCCATCCACAGCTAAGAATGAGGAAATATAAATGTTACTTACAGATCTAAGTCTTCAATAACCATTAAGCAACAGAATCCATGAGATGAATGACGTCTGCGATTTCATCTACAGTTCTATCAATAACGCCATATTCTGATGTCTACAAATGGGCTAGAATACCAGTAACAGGCAACAAACCCTCTGCCCACCAGAGGCTGAGGTAGTGAGAGCAGTAGGGAGTCCTCAGGGGGAGGGACAGTCCACATACCACATGTGGTTCGGGGAGCAAACAAAAGGGCCATTTTCTCAAATACTGCTGTCTGTGCATGGCATAGGAGGCAACAAACATTTATGGAAGTGAAATAAAATGATAAATTAAGTGTCTGTGAGCATCCACTTTCTTTTACCACACAAAAACTGAGAGCCTCAGGGGAGCTACTGAGGCCTCAGTGCTAGGCCTTTACAGGTCTCGGAGGGAACTTCAAAAGCCTGCTTCACTTGTCAAAGATGGACCAGACTCTCTCATGCCTCTCACTTTTAAAATCTAAACTGAGGTAGAGTGACTCAACACCGGAAAAAACATGAATAATTAGGTAATAAGCCATAGAAATAAGACTCTTGACTTGATTCTGCATTCAAAATTTTAAGCAAAAATGGATCAGTATGAAGCTGTTACATCCCTTGATGCACACTTACTTAACTATGCTACTATTTGCTTTGAACAAATCCCTAACGCATGGTAATTAAACATCAAAATATTGGTGGGCCATTTCCTAAAGATCACTGGGAATACAAATTTTACAGAAACAGCTGAAGACTAAGAATTTACAATGGTATGTATTTTCTAAATTGAAAAATTTTAATTTACGCACCAATACATATTTACTGGGTACAGTAAAGGAGTAATTTGATAGATGACAGGAAGACTTATTCAACACAGTGCAGTAATACAGGCTATAGCAGTTTATTATGTATTTCAAAATAACTAGCAAAGAGGGGCCTAAAGGCTTCCGACACACAGGAGTGATAATGTTTGAGGAAGTGGAAATGCTAAGTAAAATATTTAGAAAAAAAAATTTTTATTTGAAGGACAGAGAGACCATTCCCTCCCTTCTTTTGGTTTATTCCCCATATGCCCAAAAAGGCTGGGGGGAGGGGTGGTGGCACAAAGGCAAAGCCAGAAACTCAACATGGGTGTCGGGAACCCAGCCACTTCAGCTACCACTGCCACCTCCCAGGGTCCACTTCAGCATGGTGCTGGACTCAGCAGCTGGCACCCGGAGATGAACCCAAGCACACGAACATGGGGTACCGGCATCCGGGCTCTCTACCAGCATCTTAACTGCACTCCCCAATTAATGTTCTTAATAAACCCTAACCTGAAAGTGGCTGCCCCCAAATTAACATTTTCATTTCCAGCTAATAAAGAAAAAAATATATAGTCTCTGGTTAAAGCAAGCAGCTAACAGAAAACAAACATCTCACTAAATGAAGTATAATGGTCATAGCAAGTCAGATAATTACTGTAAACATGCTTAAAATGTTAAACATTTATTTTTTAAAGTGTTCATTTCCAAAACTCAATCTATTCATTCACATTCATGTGAAGTCAGAAGACGGCAAAAATCTGCTGCTACGTAAGTAGCCCCGAGGAAGAGCGCTACCCAGAGACTCACATTGTTTGGGCAGCGCTTCGGCCAGCCTCCTCAAGCTAGTCAGGCTGTCTGCGCCAAGCTGGTTCAAGATGCTGGGGAGCATTTCTGTCAGCTGCTTTGTCTCAGCGTGGCCTGTAATGGTGAAGGTGTTTGCTGCCAGAGAAGCCTGAACTTTAGGGTTGTTAAAGTGGATCACTGTTCCTTGGTTTGTAAACATATTCACCTACGAAGAAAACAAAACAAAACAAAATTAGCAATGCCCACAAATATATTTTATTAAATGAAAAGTGAAGCAAAGGTGACACTTGGCACAGAATGGAATGTGCTATCTAATAGCTTTCAATCTTAGCAACCTCCCTGGTATTCATTAATAGGGAATAAGCATGCCTTAGAAACTGTACAGGCTAGCAGGATACAAAATTCTCTGCTGCAAGTAGAGTAAAAAAAAATAATTTAATGCATTAAAATTTTAACCTTTTCTGGCCAAATCTTATTTTTAACACAGCACAATCTGACACTTACCTCTTCAATACCAGAGATATTGTTTACCCCTAATTTCTTTAGGGAGAACTGAAGTTTTTTATCATCTGCTGTTGCTGTTCTGTGAACCACCTTCTTCTTTCTGCGAGCAGTTCCCTAAAGTGGGGAGAAAAGGAGCCGACAGCACATTTAGGTAACACACACACCACGCATTATAGCAGACATTTTAGAAACAGTTGCTAATCCCCTTCTAACCTTTGGCTCCGTATAGGAACATTACCATAAATACAAACGTATGCAGCAAATAGATAAGCTACGGCAAAGACTGAAGCCAAAGCCCAGACAGCACTGTCTACGCAGCCCTTCTAACTGCTGAGCCTCTCGCTTCTCAGACAGTAAAAGCAGGTATTTCCAAAGTCCTACTTTACATTATCTACTCTAAAAGTGATCAAAGCGTGGCATGTGTCGACCTAAATTTAGCGAAGCTCCACATCCAGGATTATCAACATCTTCTGTTGGACATGAAAGAAAACTCAACATCCAAATTAATATTCACTGCCATGATAGTCTATGAAAGAACCAAATTCATCTGCACACAGACTTCCACAGCACCCAGGAGTAAATCTGAAATTCTTAACCCGTGCTCTGCCTACCTCTATTGTTCGGTTCTGAGCCTGTTCTGAGCTGTCTCCAGCCAAAACACAAAACAAAACCGGCCAGGCAGGCTCTGACGCTAGGGCATGACAGGCGCCCTAGGGTCAGAGCCCTACAGCGTGACTCCTCGCTTCCTCCAACTTCTGCCTGGCTCCCTCCCTCATTACAGACCTCTGCTTTGCTGTCACCATATCACAATGGCCTTTTTCAACCACCCAATATAAAAGAGCAACTCCCACTCACTTATCCTTTTCTATCCTAGCATTTATTGCTGCAAGAGACAAGCACATTTTATCATCTGAACCTTCCACTAAAATGTAACAGCTCCTGGAAAGCTTCTAGTATCTGGCACATGCAAAGCCCTCTAGGATAAGACTTGCACACGACTACCTCACTGTCCCTCTGCCTCCCACACAGTTCCCACTCAACCCTTAAAATCCTGTTCAAGCCATTCCTCTCCCGTGCCTTCTCCAAACTGCAACTACTCCCCCAATGCCAAATCATTCCCCTCTCTGCATTTGAAAATGCTTTTATTTTATTAGGTATATAACACTGTGAAAACACTTTCTGAAAAGATTCCTGTCACTACCACCAGGCTCAAAAACTCCCAATGGGACTTAATTTAAATTTTATTCTTAGGATCCAAAATATTAAAGGCTTGAATAAATAAAGGATTTAGATGAAGAAAATATTACATTTAAAAAAAAGTATATACACTGATACCAACACCCCCCCCCCCGAATTTTTAAGAGCAAAAAATCCCCTTGAAGTTTCATGCAGACACATGGTTTCCAAAGAACTTCTGACTTCTGTAAGAAAACAGCATGCCTCTGACAGAGTCCCATGACACCACACAAATGTGGAGTCTGTCTTCAGCTTAAGTAATTATTATCCAGGTTTTGATTAGATGTTGAAATAAAGGGCTTTTATAATATGTTAACCTTCAAATAACACAGAGTTCCCTAAGGCAAAAGTAACTCAACTAACTTCACAGCCATTAAAAGGCATAGAAAATGATTTCGTATTACAAATTCTACAGGCCTAACTTCCTGTCTTAGCTAAGCAAACTATTAAGATGTTAGGATACACGGCTGAATCTCATAGCAACCTTGAACATCCAACAAAACCCTGACTCTCATTTACACTAGTGATGCCTCTCTCAAGAAGAAGTAACAATAGAAGACTGTACACAGGCATACTCTACAAACCACTCCTGAAATGGAAAAAGAATAGTGGCCTAAACACCACACGTAAGAGCGTCCAACGACAGTCCACAAAGAATATGACGAGTTGTTCTGGCCCTTGAGGGCTAAGGTGTGCAAGCTTTAGGATGACAGGAACCATCCACTGTCGTTAATGTGCAGGTGTGGGTCCTGAAGACTCCCAGTGTCAGCATCCACACACGAGGCGGCACACTCACTGCTGGCCACGTCCAGTAGTTTAACAGGGCTGCAGCTCGTTATTTAAGCACAACCTCTGGCCATCTCACAGCAGACTCCACAGTAACTTGAAAGTAAATGCTTGAAGCTGGGAAAAACTAATAGGTGATAAAGCCGCAGTCTGGGCAAGCTTTACCAAGTAAAGACAGGCTCTGGTACAACAGGCTACCACACCTTGTTAAATACTTGGAATGTGCCAACACAATACAAAGCACAATGAGGTAGACATCCATCTGACTTCAGTAAATTACTTAGAAGAACAACCTAACAGCTGAGTTCAGAAGAGAATTCCCTTGAAAAAGATCAGTATTCATGGCGGGGGGAGGGGGAGACATATTTTAAATTCAGTCAGTCAATTTCATTCCCTCAGTTTTAGCGTAACTGAAAATCAAAAAAGAAAAGAGATTAGCCAGGTAACACTTCCCACCCTTAAGTCACTGCACTTAAACTCCAGAAGGTACCTCTAGCAAAGATTCTGTTCAGTCTTGAAGGCACACAACTGCCCTGAACGGCACGTAGTACAGAAAACGCTGCAATTTCCAAGAGACACCAACTTCTAACTAGTATGTCTAACAGGAGAAACTCATCAGCAAATTCAGAGTAAGTTTAGGATTAAAACACACACACACACACACACACACACATCAAACACTGACTCCATACAACTTAAGCCAAAGCAACTCGGGGCTATGACGACACAACAGTGATCTAACTGAAATGACACATTTTTAGGAAACATTCTGTCCTACTTAATACACTGTAACACTGGAAACACATAGACATGAAAGCAAGGGGGCTAGGAGCTCCTCTTTCTCATCTATTTTAATGCACCACCTGCGAGCCTCCTTTTCGTGTATCGTTCTACCTCCTGCCTCCTCCCGGATCCGCCAGCTCCGCGATCTTGGCAGGCACACAAACCAACAATCCAAAAATGCAAAAGGAATGAAACTTACTTTCCCACCAATGCGCACTTGTGCCTGCAGTTTGGCGAGTTTTTCCTGGTTCATGATAGTTTCTTTCATCTAGAAAAAGGGGAAATCCCTCAGCAAGCAAAAGGCCTGGTTCCTCCCTCCTCATTTTCCCGAGAGAGCAGCAGGACAATAAACGCCCCACACAGGCCGAGGCCTGGATCCCAAGCCCACCCCGCAAAGCTCTCCATTTCAGTTTTGCGGGAGCCCAGAGAGCAGTCCCCTCTCCACCCCTCCCCCACAACTCCCCGCTCTTCGCAGGCCCAGAACAAGGGCTCCCACCCGCGCCTGGCCAGCACCCCCACCCCTTACCCCCCACCCTCGGCCCTGGCCTGGCCTCGGCCTAGCCAGGGCCTGCCCGGCCCAGCCACTCTCCGCAAGCCTCGCGGTACCTGAGCTCCTGTCCTCGGGTTCCGCCCGGAGGTGGAAGGAAGAGACGGCGTCCCCTCGCCCCAGGGGAGCCGCCCCCTGGTTCGACCTCGCCCCCCGAGGAGCAGCCCTGAAGCGGGTGCGCCTGTCCGTCGCATCGCCTTCCTCTCAGCCCTGTCCCTCCCTGTTTTCGCTCCTTCCGGGAACTTCCCGCCCCCGATCCCGTCCTCCTCCCACGCCGGCGTCTAGAGCCTTTTTGTACCTTGTCCGAGCGGAAATGGGGCCGCGCGGGGGACTAGGGTTGGCGCTCAGGGGGTCTCGGGCAGACCAGCTGAGATTAAGCGCACACACGCGGGGACGCAAGATGGCAGCTAGAGGGAGGCCGGAAGTGACGCACGGCCACTTCCTCCAGAAGTCAGGAAACGGACCTCGCTGCGCGCTCGGGCCCTCGCTGCGCACGCGCGGCGGCCGTGACAGCCCGGCGGGCCTTTCTTCTGCTTGTGGCGCGGCTGGGGCTGCACGGAGGCCGCGGGGCAGACCCTGGGCGGGGCGCGCGGCGCGTAGTGCTAGGCGAAGCCCTCAAGACGCCTGGAACGAGATTCTTTGCCCGGCTGCTATGGGGCCCGGACCCCAGCGTTCTTTAGCCTCCCGAGAAAGAGGCTGCTCGTGTGTCCCCGCAACCTCGGGGGCGCCTCTCTGCGGCAGCCCTACACGCATTGGGCGGCGAGGCCTGGGAGCTGCAGAATGTCCCCTTCGGGCCGAAGGAGCCTTTACCAATATATACCAAAGTAAAGACGCTAGTCTTGCTTTTCAGTTAGGTGGTCGTGTAGGTTGCGCGACCGCGGTTGGGTTTCTGGGGAGCGTGTTCCGAATGCACCCCGAGCTCCACCCTGAATTCCAAACAGCAGTTTTGTAGGGCTGTGGCGGGGCGGGGAATCTGCATTTCTGCAGACTCGGCAGACAGCTCTCCGCCCGAGACCTGGCTGTGTAACCGCCTTCCCTTGATCCCTTCCTTAACCGGCACAAGAAAGACTTGTTATGGAACTGGCTTTACCTTCCTTGAGTAACTCGGTCGGAGAAGCAGCTACCGTCTAGACCCTGAGTGTTTTTGCATATTCGAAAGTGAGCGCGAACTCTCAGCCGGCGAGAATGCAATATGCAGCCAATGTGTGAATGTAGGCTCCTCTCCCGTGCACATAAATGTCTTTGTTTCTCAATACCCTTTAAAACCTGTGATTTGAAAGGCAGAGCGCACCGCGGGTTCCCTCCCCGAACGCCCACTACGGCCAGGAAGGGAGCTCGATCCAGGTCTCCCATGTGGGTGCCCGGAGCCCGTCACTTGGACTATCACTGCCGCCTCCCAGGGTCACATCATCAGGAAGCTAAATGTGGCGCCTGAACGAAGTTCCAAACGCCCGTGCTCCCATGTGGGACGCGGGTAACACCTGCCCCTGGAGTGCTTTTCATTGTAAGTTTGTTGAAACTGTGACGCCTCATTAAGAATAACCGATGAGGACGGTGTTTTTTTTTTTTTTTTTTTAGAATAGTTGCAACAGTTATTTTTTCTCGAAATACAGTGTTGCTTCTATTACCAAATTGGAGCCTGGTTTGCTACAGAAAAGGGTGTTAGACTACTTGGGTCACAGTCCTAATGAGAGTGGTTAAAATACCTGTGCCAGTCCTAGTCAGGTGATAGAGACATTACAAACTGAAGAGAGACACACCCGCTCATTGAAAGGAATGTGTCTTTTTGTTCCAGAATGTTTTCCTTCCGTGTTATAGCCCAGCACTTGAAACGTCCTATTCATGTGCTGTTTCCTGAACTTTCAAACAAAAAGGATTCCACATAGGTAGCCTGCCACCTGACTTGCCTTTTATACATCTATTTCAGGTTATTTGTTCCCACTTTTTTCCTCATCTTTTGTGATTTTAAAGATTTGCACCCTGTTGAAAATCACCGAAGATTCTTTAATAGCAAAAAGGAAATATTTGGATTTTTGTCTGCAGCTACTTCTGTGTGTTTTGAGAGGGGTTGAGGGTTGGGTGGTGCTATGGCGTAGCGGGTAAAGCCATGGCCCTCAGTGCTGGCATCCCACATGGGTACCAGTTCGAGACCTGGCTGCTCCACTTCCTATCCAGCTCTCTGCCGTGGCCTGGGAAAGCAGTAGAAGATGGCCCAAGTCCTTGGGCCCCTGCACCCATGTGGGAGACCCAGAAAAAGCTCCTGGTTCCTGGCTTCGGATCAGAGCAGCTCTGGCCGTTGTGGTCATTTGGGGAGGGAACCATCTCTCTCTCTGTGCCTCTCCTCTCTCTGTGTAACTCTTTCAAATAAATAATAAATAAGTCTTAAAAAAAAAAAAGGCAGGGAGACAGACAGAACTCCCAAACTCCCATCTACTCCCATCACCCCCAAATGGCCACAACAGCTAAAGTCAGGCCAGGATGAAGGCAGGAGCCAAGATCTTAGTCTAGGTCAGCTTTATGGGCATCAGGGATCCAAGTACTTGAGCTTCCCTGGGTGCACATTAGTAGGAAGCTAGAATTGGGAACGCAAATGAGACTCAAACCCAGGCATTCCAATATGTGACACACGTATCCCAGGCAATAACTACAGCTAAATGCTTGCCCTCGTGTTTATTTTTTAAAAGCCATAGAGCCCCATTTTGACTCACAAAAGGTTTAGAGAACTCAGAATGAATGTTTCCATGCTTTTAGGTGCCTCATTACCTGGCCCTTGCCTGGTAGCCACAATGGACCTTTTTTTTTAAGCCTCTAAACCTGCTTGAAGTCCTTTATAGCACCCCCAACTCTGTCAAGTTAATGCCTATGCAACATTCAGCTCTCAGTTTAAATGTCTCAGGATACCCTGCTCTGTCACCTTCAACTCCATTAAGTTACAGCCATGTTATTATTTTCTAAATTTAGTTTATTTATTTGAAAGCCAGGCAGAAAGCACATGAGCTTGCTTCTACCTGCTAATTTACTCCCCCAAATTCCTGCAACAGCCAGGGCTGGCCAGGCCCAAACCAGGAGCTTGGAACTCGTTACAGGACTCCTATGTGGGTGGCAGGAACCCAAGTACTGGAGCCATCACATGGTGTCTCCCAGGGTGTGTTAATAAGAAACAATTCAAAAATGGAGCCTGGATCAGAACCCAGGTACTCTCATAAGGCACGCAGATGTCCCAGGTGGTGGCTTAACCACTGTGCCAAACACCCACCCCCTAGTTATTTTTAATTGTAATATTTTTATTAACTACAAAATAAATGGTAACTTTGTTAAGTTAATAGAGAATTGAACTTGGAGTCTAAATAACAATTTCTCACTATGTTAGTATGGAATGCTGGCTCTTTTTGGAAAAGATTTATTTGTTTATTTATTTATAAGGCAGAGTAACAGAAAGAGATCTTCCATCTGCTGGTTCACTCCACAAATGCTTGCAATGCTTGGACTGTGCCAAGCCATAGCCAGGAGCCCAGAAATGTTTCCCATGTGGGTGGCAGGGACCCAGATACTTGGGCTATCAAGCTGCCTTCCCAGGCACATTCGCAGGCATTCTTGATTAGAAGGAGAACAACACTCTGATACAGCATGTGAGTGTCCCAAGTGGTGGCCTAACCTGCTGTGCCTTAACACCTACCCCAGAATGCTTGATCTTTGACCATTTGATCCTCACAGAAAACATACAAGGTTAGGTACTTTCTGTTGTACAGGTGCAGTAACAAAGACTTAGTTAAAAATATGAATGTAGACACAAGCAAGCTCATTTTCTCTTGGCCCAATCCTCCTGTGTACATCTGAGTCTATAAACATTTCACTCCTGCTGCTACACATGGGAGAATATTCTCTCCTGCTTACTTTATTCAGGATTATGATTTTAGTTTATTTGAATAGTGTCCCTCCTATACCTGTTTTTTATGTTCATCTACATCATTCTACACAAAGATGCCTTAGTGTCAGGCATCTTAAAAGAGGACCCAGGGGCCGGTGTAGTGGCATTGCAGATAAAGCCACCGCCTGCAGTGCCAGCATCCCATATGGGCTCTAGTTTGAGTCCTGGCTATTCCACTTCTAATCCAGCTCTCTGCTGTGGCCTGGGAAAGCAGTGGAGGAAAGCAGGAGCTCCTGGTTCCTGGCTTCGGATCAGCACAGCTCTCTCTGTTGTGGCCAACTGGGGAGTGAACCAGTGGATGAAGGACCTCCCTCTCCCTCTCTGCCTCTCCTTCTCTCTCTGTGTAACTCTGACTTTCAAATAAATAAATAAATAAATTTTAAAAAGGGCACCCAAAATATACTTTTGACCTGTGTTCCCCCTTGGAGGAACTACTTAATATTTTAAAAAAACATTTGTATATTTGAAAAGCAAGATGGCAGGAAGAGACAGAGAGACAGACAGAGAGAGAGATCTTCCATCTACTGGCTCACTCCCCAAATGACCGCAACAACTAGAGCTGGACCAGCCAAAGCCAGGAGCTAGGAACTCCACCTTGCTCTCCAACATTGATGTCAGGGAGGGTCCCAAGTATTTGAACCATCTTCTGCTGCCTTCCTAGGAGTAATAGCAAGAAGCTGGATTGGAGGCAGAGTAGCCAGATCTCCAGTATAGGATACTGACATTGCAAGCTGTGGCCTAATCTACTGTGCCACAATAGTGGCCCTAAAGTTTAATTTTTTTTAAAGATTTATTTTATTTATTTGAAAGACAGAGTTGCAGAGAGAGATAGAGACAGAGAAAGAGGTCTTCTGTCTGCTGGCTCACTCCCCAGATGGCCACAACAGCCGGAGCTGCGCCAAGCCGAAGCCAGTAGCCAGTAGCTTCTTCTGGTCTCCCACGTGGGTGCAGGGGCCCAAGGATGTGGGCCATCTTCTACTGCTTTCCCAGGCCATAGCAGAGAGCTGGATTTGAAGAGGAGCAGCTGGGACTAGAACCGGCGCCCATATGGGATGCTAGCACTTCAGGTCACAGCGCCGGTCCCCAAAAGATCTCTCTCTTTCTCTCTCTTGACTCTGTCAAATAAATAGATAGATATTTTAAAAGAATATTGGTTATTCTTAGAGAAAGCCATAATTGGAAGGAGTCATGTGAGCTACATGGGGTCCAGGGTTGGGTACAAGTGTCTGTCTCTGGACCTGGATAGCATATGAGATTCTCTGTAGTTGCTGTACTGTACAATAAAAGTTTCTTGGAAGGCACACAGAACATGATATATAACAGATACGTGCACAGTTAGTGTCATAGTTCAGCATTACAGTGGGTACCTTCATGGGAAAGGGGAATGGGAGAGAAGATGAGAGAAGCCCAGAGAGACTTCCCAGACTGAATATGACAATGGTGGCATAGATATGCACAACCTTTAACATACATTAGACACTGTCTTAGTGCTTTCCATATAGTAACTCAATTATCCTAGTAAGTAGATACTA